GTTTTTCTAGCTCCTCAACATAAGACTGTTTTCCTCTTCCAGATACAAAGAAGAATACGAGGGATGACAAAGGGAGAAAGAAAGAAAGAGGAGAGAGCGTTCTCAGTACAAACAGAAGCACTGCCACAGTGCTGCAGTATGTGACCAGGAACTGTGGGAATTCACGTCAGTAACTGTACTCCACTGCGTTCTCAAAAACGTGCATCTGTAAGGCTCATAAACCAGTACCTCCTGACACACATTACACACGGGCCATAAACCCAATTGCTGCCGGCCTGCGCAGACAGACGCACAACTCATACAGAACCTCATCACCTCCACATCTCCTCTACAGATCCATTTCCATCCAGTCACCACCATAGAGAGCTCTGCACCCTGTTAATACTCACCACGTAAATCGACTTTGCTTTGACCAAACAATTATTTAAAAACATGTTTTTGTCAGGCATGACACAAAGACACCCTTTCTGCTTGGTTAAAGGTCCCCCACACCCCAGATGGTGTGTGGTTCTATGGGTTGGCACTTTGCTCATTACTGGATGGTCACTGGTTCAAACCATGTGGCTGGCAGAGCAACGTTACCACTGGGGCCTTAACCCCAAACTCTCCCGGATGCTGACCTCGCCCTCTGATCGTCACTGCGGCTTTGGACAAAAGCATCTCCTACAAGAATGAATGTTGGTTAAGGCCTCACTCCCACCTGTGCGTATGGTCCTTCAGGTCCAAGCACATCACAAGGAAGGGGGGGGGGGGATAAAAGAGGAAAAAGGGGAAGGGGATCCCGGCCCTGATGGGGTTTCCCCCCACTCAGCGTGTCTCTGATGTGCCAGAGCCTCGTACTCGCTCTCCGTTCCCCCTCCATTCCAAAGGAATGCTGGGAATGCAGACTCTCCCCCTCAACGTCTGCCACATTTACAGAGGGAGAACAGGAAAGAATGCGCGTGTGCAAGACCACACACGAGCACGGGTTCACGTGTGCAAAACGGCAACGTGGCGGCCGGCTCACATTGGTGGGGAAAGCTGGAGTGTAAAGAGCTTAATCTCATTTAATAAAACCCAAAACGAGAGAGAAGCAGAATGGCGACTGCATTTCACAGAGCTGTGATTCCCATACCCTGATGAACCGCGCTCATAACCTGGAAGGACAAGGGATGGCTGCACTCGGGCCGCAGACAGACACAAGCTCTCGGGGAAAAAGAGGAGCACAAAACAGCAGGGAACGTGTCAAATAAGAACTGATATAGGCTTGTTTATTTAGCCAGGCAGCGTCATCGTCTGAGCATGACACGATCACTCGTGAACCGGGACCACGCGTGTACGAGTCTGCAGGCCCACAGGCTGCCTTTCAGGTACCGCTCTGTCTGTGAACGGCCAGCATGGATGCTGAAAGTGCACAGTAAGCGAGCAAAGTCTGAAGCTGTCTTGGAAGCCACCCAGGGCCCAAAGGGCGGGGGGGTGTTGGATGCACTTCCCCTGTTTTTGTTTTCTGCTCCCAGCTGGAAAATGTGAATTTGTCTGCTGAATCATCACAGTCTCCCCCCAGAAGGGAGGTGCGTTTCACAAAGAGCCAAAGGACAAGCAGAGCGAGAGAGCGAGAATGCCCTTTGAACCCTGAACAGCCAGTCCTGCAGTCTGCTTGTTATACCTTCCTGTGGTCAGTGTCGACTCATTCCCATTGGGTACCTGCACCAGAGCAGAGACCCCGTCCCCCGCCTACGTCCCTTTTGCCGCACGCCAGCTTTCTCGAAGGAGAGCCAGAATGTTCCAAGCTGAGCGCAAGACAAATTCATTCCATTCTGCTTCTCCCTCTTATGCTGCACATCACTACCTTCATTCTACTTTGTTTTCAATACCACTGCTGACACTGTTTTCTCCATTTGTTTAATTATGGCCTCGACTAGGTTATACACCCCATAGAAGGCAGACGGTAAAGGAGAATAAAGTATACTTTATGGACAAAAGTATAGTGACACCTGGCCATTACACCTACAGGAACTTTTATGACATTCCATTCCATTCTAAATCCATAGAGTTGGTCCTCCACTCTTCTAGGGAAGCTTTACACAAGTTTATGGATTGGGTCTGTGGGAATTTTTACCCATTCATGTAGAATTGCATTTGTGAGGTCGGGCACTGATCACAGGCCTGGCTCACAATCTCCAGTGTAGTGCATCCCAAAGATGTTTGATGGAGTCAGGGTTCTGTATGGGCCAGTCGAGTTCTTCCACACCAAAAACTCACCCAATCATGTCTTTATGGATCTTGCTTTATGCACGATCCATAAGTCCAGAAAAGGGGCTTCCTCAACTGTTTACACAAAGCTGGCATAGAATTGCCCAGAATGTCTTGATATGCAAGGCTTTTATAGCTGCAAGGGGGGGGGACGGGACCAACTCCATATTGATGCCTATGAATTTAGAAAGGGGTGTCAAAGACGTTCCTGTGGGTATAATGGCCAAGTGTCCTAATACTTTGTCCATATAGTGTATGAACTTTATAAACTTCCTCTCTGACTGCCTCTCCCTCTTTATTTCACTACTGATTTTATTAGGGCTCATAACCATGCAGCTTTAGTGTCATAACTTACACGGCTAGTCGCCCCTCCTAAACTTCCAGACAATTCAGAGCCAGTGCACACCCCCACCCCACAACCAACCAGGTGGGAGTACAGGTCCGCCGTTCAGCAAACGGTAGCCCAGAACCGGGACCAGCGCGCTAAAAAACCAGCAGCAGCGGAAACAGGCCAGGCAGCAGGACTGAGACCCCTATTACTGAGGGGAGGGCAGCAAAGAGCAGAGAGGCAGCTTAACAGACCCTCTGTGTTTGTGATGAACGGAGGGAGATGGGTCACAAAGGGCCTGGTTCTATCAATGTGGCAGTGTGCTCTCTGGATCCTACTGCCAAATCAGAAGGGGAGAGGGAGGGAGGGAGAGAGAGAGAGAGAGAGAGAGAGAGAGACAGAGATACAAACAATCCTCCCTTATCCGCAGCAATCGCCTGCCTCTGCTTCAGTATTGTTCTTCAGCCCCCTCCCTACCATTCCATGTCTCTTGCTAGCTGAAGCGCCCCCTACATGCGCAGGAGAGAATACCTCCGGAGTCTTACCAGTGTGAACAGGAGCCGAGAGACACTGGCACAGAGAGACACCATCAGCACGTGACGGTTATGACAGAGACCGGGCACACGAGCGGCCATATGACCCGCCGAAGTCTCAGACTACCGCCCTAATCACCTTAACCATGACAGCTGCACGGACTTCAGAGGAAGACAAGCAGCCACATTATTCACTCACTCTTCCCAGTACAGAGGCACTATATGGACATTATATTATATATGGGTTACACAATATGTCAGTTAACATATCGCTATCAACCAATATTCATTAAACATCAGCCTCAGTCCAATGTGTCAATCTTGGCTGATATTTAAACTTTATCAATTGTTAAAATTGCAGACAATCAGCCTTTTATCCAGAGTGAAGGACAAGGGATTTCTCAAAATCCCAGCACAAGACACGTTTATAATTCATTATTTAATCTTCCCCACAAATCAATCTGTAGTTTTCCACCGAAAGAAGAATTTAAAAAAAAAAATGCAATGTCCCCCCCGCCCCATGCAAGAGCCTCAGACGTTATCAGTAGACAAAAATATGTCCTTATCAAAATTTCCACATCAGAGCACCTACTGTATAGGCACAAGTCACTAAAACACGACAACAGTTTCAGGTACTATATTTCAACACGCTCTGTGATGGTATCCTAGCAACCTTTGACAGCAAAAACATAAGACGAATTAAGGATATAAGCATACAGAAGCAAACAAGCATATAGAGAGGCATGGCCTTATGTTTGAATTGCATTGTGGGTATTTTGCAGTGCCAATGCTGTGCCATAATCAGCTCTTCCAGCCTGCTGTGGACAGGTCCAAATGTCAGAAGGTACCTCAGTGGGAGGAAGTCCAATGGTTAAACAGGTTTGGCCAAGTAAAAGTGTGTCCAGAACAAATAGTAATGTAACACCTTTAGCTTATCAGCGCAGGAGAGGGTCAAAACCCAGAGGCTGGAGAGCCAAGCACACTGCCTCACCATAGCGTACACAGGAATACTGCATGCTGGGGGGGGGGGGGGCAACCTCTGACCACTACTTGCAAGCTGGACAAAAAGTTTGTTGTTCAAGAATGCAATACAAATAACACACCACAGATTCCAGCAAGTGTTTGCAGTATTTTTTTTTTTTTTTTAATGTAATGGCACTGGCATAAACAGCCAGTGATCGCAGTACAGGCAAACTACGCCAGATCTGGACGAGGACCCCCTTAACAAAAGGGGAGGCCTGGAAGCAGACATGGTGCAGAAGAGTACAGTGTGAAATACAGACGCAGCGCACCAGAAAACATGCCAAGACAATCCAGGAGCCAGCAACGCCACAGTTCAGTTATGTTACACGAGTATGATTCAGCGAAATTTAAAAGAGGGAATGCCTTACTGACCAATACAGGAAAACATGCAGTTGGTTAAAACAAATTTAGCCTACATAACTTCAGCTGGATTACTTTTTTTTCCTTTTTTTGAAACAAATTCTGTTTAGACATTAATTATTTACGTATGGACATCATTGTCGGAGATATGTGAGCAATCCAAAGTTTTTATATATATATATATATGGGAACTGCACTGACGTATCAGTGTGTATTTTTCCCACATAAGCCTACCTACAAAAGAAACACACCTTGACATGGCTGTCAGACATGCCCATCAAGACCCAAAGGGATCATTTTTTCCTGTTTAAACTTCTAACTTGTCTGCATACTAAACAATGTTCACTTTGATCAGATTTCAAAGTATTAAGGAAGATTGAATCAGCAAATCTAGGGATTAAGTAGTCGGTATGGAGGCGTTTGTCTAAATGGTTTACGCCTCTCAAATCGTGGGAAAAATCACAGACAATGAGATAAAAAAAAAAGCGGCATTGCACCCGGAGCCAGCATTACTAAGAAATTACCTTGATGATGTACAGGTAAACTCGCCGCCGTCCAGGAGCCGGATCTTGCAGAAAAGCATGCCGTTGACGAAGGGCACGGCGGAGAGTTCCTCCAGGGTGAAGCTGGTCTGAAACTTAAACCTCTTCTTCTTCATTAAAAACGCCATAGATGTGAGCGTCGAAAATGCCCCTTTACTGTAGGTCCGTTGGCTTGGAAGTACACAGTTCCAACTGTATCCACAGGAGGGGAAAGCAGAATGTCTTAATCAATAAAAAAAATTTATGATTGTGGGGCTTGTGCTCAAGTGTGTAAGTGATCTGTAATAAGCATGGAGACCCAGGTGATTTTAATCGGGAGTTTGGTCTCTTAGCGCATGAAAACCTCTTTTGGGTAGAACAAAATGAAGAGCTAATCACAGTATTAATAAAGATTCAGGGCAAGCTTAAACACGCATGACAATCAGTGCACTTTTGTCTGGCGGATATCTTTGGAGGCGGATAGACGCAGATATTTAGGGTATAGCTAATATACCGGGTGGTCCGGAGGTACAGCTTTCACTAAAATGAAATTGAAAAAGACTTACTGTGGGATCCCAGAAAAGACAGCGTGTCTCCGACTTCAGGACGGACACATTCTTCTTTTCTTTTTGTCGTTTCTTTACCTCCAAACTCTGCTGTCTTATCGGGCAGGTGAGCAGCTCCGGTACAAGTCGGCGGTCGCCAGCGGACCGGAATCCAGCGAGGGCGGCGAAGATTGTTTCCCCAGTCTACAGTGCCGGAGCTGCCGGCAAATGCACCAACAAACCAAAAGAAAGAAAAAAGTACAACTAAATTTAAAAACACTAAGCCATTTATCGCCCCTACGGGGTTTATTCGTTGCTGTCACGGTCGTAGAAATGGATCTGACTTGCCCTCCTCGTACTTTGAACTGGGGGAACCTCCTCCGAAAACCAAGAGAAAACGAGCCAAGCGCCGCCTCCCGCTCATGCACTCGTGTACATTTTTCTGACATGTACGCCATATACGTAAGGAATGTTTACTGGGACAACGTGGACTTAATTCTGAAATACACGTTTGGGATCCTAAAGAATAGGTTAAAGGTGCGCTCTTGCTTACTTATAAAACGCCGTCTAATTTCCATGTGCATACTTTACTGGTGAAAGTACTGTTATTGGTTGCCTAGATATCAACGTTTTTACTAAATTTACATCGTTAGGAGTAAATCACCTAACATTACATATAACTGGTAAATCTTAATTTGTTTGTATGGAAAAACCTTTCCTTTACATTCAGAGGCCTACGTTGAGAAACCACCTGAGAATTAGCAGTTGGCTTTGCGGCAGGTCAGGGACAGATGTGTCAGTTCTTGTTACGCACCGCCACCTGCCGATAGAAAATCGGAATTGACTGCAGACACACAAAGCCGATTTTTATGCAGATAAATTTACGTCTGAAATAATCGTACTTAGTTGCCTTGCCGATACCACGAATACTATCCTCATTTTACAACTGCGAGTTCTAATTTGCTACTTTACAATGTTCAGGGTGGAATTATGAGTTACTGTTTATGTATTTACCACTTCAGCACTATATTTATCAATCACCAATCACTAGTTACCAGAGGTGGGGACTCGAGTCACTGAATTTGTTGACTTGTGACTCGACCTGAGGGCAAATAACCTGAAATGGACCCGATCATTCAAGAAGATTTTATAGTCCTCCCTCTGGATACTATAACCTTAATTTGACCATTTCAGTGTATATTAATTCTTTGTTGTCTGCACTTTCAGTTTCAGTTCTAATGCTATTAAATGGTTCAGAAATATATATTTTGTTTAGTCACTGTCTACTTTGAAAGTTTATTAGTAAAATGGCAAAGACAATATAGTTGTTCGTACAGAACATTTCACACGGATGCAATTGAAAGTATTTTACAGAGATCAAATAATACAGAATAGCATTATACAGTAAGAATGACACATGAACGTAACCTAAAAGGTTCCTTGGCGGCTATGGGGATCGAACCAGAAACTTTCATAGTATGAGGCGACAGCATAAACCACTGTACCACCACACCACTGTACTAGGTCTTATAGTTACATACATAACTTACGCATTTAGTCTGTCTGCAATTCTTTGCCAAAGCAACTCAATGGCTTGATTTATGGCCATAGTATTGTCTTTTTTAGCAATTACATCTTTCTACTGTTTATACATCTCCATCAGCAGCGTTTGTTTTGCGACGAAAAATAAAACACCGCTCTCGTTTTACACGCTTTCTGACTCATTTTATCGATCTATCGTTCATCCATTCATTTGGGCTTCTTAAATATCTTGGGTGTGCGCACTAAGTGAGACTATGCAAGTCTGTCTTGTATGAGCCTTGATTAGTTAAAGCTTAACTGCATTAGTGGAATGACTCGAGGCTAAGTTTAGAGATGGCGCTAGTTTGGCTTTCTTTAGCTACTTTCTTGGAATACCCCCTTATTCAACTCCTTGTGCTAATTACCACACAGCTCTTGCGCTGAATCATTTGTGGTGGAACAAGGAAAGAACTAAGCTACACAGGGCTCCAGCCCTTCAGGACTGGATTTTGACACCCCTGGAATAGACCTACATTTTAATTCATCCTTGTGCAAAAACACAGACACACGAATATATACAGATGTGAGCAAGATTTTGGGTCAGAGTGCACGGTCAGCTAATGTCCATTGACCCAGGTATAATAGTGCAGCATGGCACAGATATAACAAGGGACAGGAGTAGCTCATAATCAATTAACCAATCAAGGAGGCACAGGAACAATTAAGAAGGAGCAGGTGTAAGCGGTAACACCAGTGTGCGAAATCCGGGGGGGTCTGACACCCCCGATTAACCCATGAGACCCCCTGAAAGCCTCAAAAGCAAAGTTTTAAGGACGTCGGTATTGCGCAAACATGGGGACCCCCCCTGAATATTGACGGGTATTTTGCACACTGGGTAACACTAAATGAACACAGAACTAAGAGACATAGCAAACACTAGGGTAACAACACCAGGAAAGACTAGGACCATAAGAATACACAGAATAAAACTTAGCAGAAGTTGGGAAATCCTAAAATTTGGAAGCACGCTAAGTAATAATCACTAGGAAACAAAAACCCAATAAACAAAAGGATAACCCAGGACTGGAGGGTACAGCCTCCAAACTACAGGCTCAACCCGATGAGCTATGGCCCGAAAACAGGGAGACACACAAGGGCTAAGGGCTGAGGGCTACAAGTGGGAGGGGGGAAACAAAATGACCAGTGACATATGCTGGCCAAAAACAGGACATGTAGGACACAGTCAGGTGGGTGCCAAACCTGACACCAGGATCTGCATGAGGTAAAAATCAGAGGTGGAAATTTCAGGTCCAGAAAGTAAAAATCCAGACAAGGATTTTGTTTCAACTAACCAATTGAGCATGAAGAGTCACTGTCACAGAGTACTCAGCTGGTTGGTTGAAACAAAATCAGGGTCTGGATTTATACTTTCTGGACCTGAAATTTCCACCTCTGGAAATGCGGGCAACTCCCCAGTCGGGCTGTCTTTGCTGTGTCGTAATGTATTCCTAAACTCCCATTGCATTTGCTCCAGTCAAACATGCGGGTGTGTAAGCGGTTAGTAAAGGTATATTGTTTTGGATTTTTTTTGACTGCCAGCAATTGTTATATGTCTAAATGTATGTATGAGTGAAGGAATGAAAAACTTTTTGCAACTGCAATTTTTCGAAAGCAGGTATTAACGGTAGCTTGATATCAGCGATTCTGCCTGACAGACAGACGATGGCAGCCTTTACCAAGAAGTTATAGATCACCCGCTTTATAACGTACGTTATAAACGTACTGTTTAAAGTACAGTCTATTGCGTGTCTCTGGGTTACTTTGCGACGGTTTCTCTGCTTCGTATTTTGCATGTCCAAGTACACGTTTTGGTTGTGCATTTAACTGCAGCATTTACGTGTGTGTGTTTGTGTGTACGTGCATATTTTCCAAATTTTCCTGCGCAATACTTTTACCCTTTTTCTGAAAAATAGAAATTTAAAACAGTTGTATTATTTGTACGAGATTTCGCATTTTTATTTTGAATTGCACGTTTCACACGTTTTGCTTATCGTACGCAAACGTCGTACAATCTTCTGTGTAGATCAGTAACGCAAGAGCTTCTGGAATCGGCTTCCGTCCGCCTGCCGAAAGGCATTTACACCCGCCACGACTCAGGTCCGCCTCCTTGTCCCATATCCTCATTTCATTGGCTGAGCTGTGAGGACCTGACGGAATAAATTGCACCATTATTTTCAAGCACGGAGAGCAATCAATTGTAATGCAGGCGTCTTACAACCAAAATTGTAAGTTTCCTGGTTATTTCATCTAAGGAAGTATTTCCTTATATGCGTTTTATTTGTTGCGAAGTTTTTTTTAGCTATTTGACATGAAGAATGACATTAAACATAGAATATAATACGTGTAAAAAAAAAAGTTATCCAGCAGTTGCATTTATGAGTACAATTTGCAAAAACCCTATTCCCATATCGCCAGTGACTTCTGGTCGCTTTTGAGCGCAATTATATGGTCGAGTATGATTGGTCGATAGACGTGCCCATCATTTGAAACCCGCCTCCCCGCCCCTAAGCCGTCCCATTCAAAGACGCGAATCATTTCCTTCTTGGAGACTGTATTCGGTTGCCGGCTTTTTCATTTTTTTACATCTTCTGTCAAACTGACAGTCGGTAGACGGTGCGAAGGCGGTACAATCGGTGATAATCTACGGCAATATACCTGGGATAATCAAGTTGGAAAGACAAAGAAGAGGAGGGGGAGGGATTTCCTCACCGGCATGGCAGATGTGGAGCCGCGCCGTCCGACTGAGCATCCAGCTCATCACTCACCGGCAGTGGAGTGAGGGCAAGGCGGAAAACAGCTGGGCAATTCCTGTGGATTAAAACAAAAAAAGCCGCCACCTGGACTACGTCGGGCGTGTGTGGGGGGGTAGTTCGTGACACGAATGCCTTTCTTATTAATGGATGTTTTTTTTTTTTTTCATTTATAATATGTAGCTATAATCCACGAGACGCGTATTTGGCTTGAATTTATATATTTTTTTCTTTGGATTTAAAGGAAGTTTTTAACATATTTTGTATAGAAGGTTTTACTTGCTGGGACCGTCGGAGCTTTGCCACGCTGTCCGACCAGTAGCATGCAGCAGCAGAGATCATTCGTCTCCCCGCTGCTGAGCGGTGTATTCTGTCAGTGCAGCTCGGCGGACGATGCCCATTGCTCCCCAGATTCCGGTGTAGGTGCTGGTACCGGATTTGGAGCGGCTGGGACTCCAGCACACAAGCCCTGGGACTGCCCGCTAAACGATCCCCCAAGCGCCCCTCACGGGAGCTTGCACCCGTGCGGCGGCGCGGTCTGTGGTGGCCCCGACCAGGAGCACCGGCTCAAGGTCTTGTTCCAAGTGCTGGACGTCAATAAGGACGGGGGAATCTGTGTGCAGGACCTGACCATCGGCCTCAAAAAGCTGGGTGTTCATCGCACTGAGAATGAGCTTATGGTAAGCATTCTATACATAAATGTATTTATCGTGCACGGTGGAGAAAGTATGACTGGAATGATAATTACCTAGAAACAAGCGAGCGATAAAACACCGATTAAGCTGTGAAAGGAGGGGATTCTGTCTGGAAACGCAAAGAAGTTTTCTACGAAGCATTGAATAATTTGAGTGGTATGTGCTTTATAAAACACGTGGTCAGTCAGGTTGGTCTGGTCGTCCTCTGTAAGGCATGTAGGCAAGACGTCCTGGATGAGAAATATTTCCTATTTACCGCATTCCTCTGTAGTTCGAACATGCTGATGGTATTAGATCATTAAACTCTGATTCTGTGTTGTTCGAGTTTGAAAAACGTTTAAAATGTCTCCTGAAAATTCCCGACTGCAAAGTTATTGCGTGCATTTTGGGATTTTTGGTTCTTTTTTTCTTGTGTATGACTGCAGGCCGCTTAGAGTGCGGGGTCATCTGGGGTTCAGACCCCACACAAAGTAAGCCACCTGTTATTTTGTTCAGAGAAGTCTTAGACATACAATTTTAGAGAATTTTTAATACAGTACATAAAATGAGACCTTGCTTCTAATTTGAGAATCTTAATTTCTTTGAGAATTTTCTGTCTGCGGCGTGGGAGTGACGGGTAGTTTCTCCTCCACCATCTGAAGGGTGTGGGCAGCCCTGATTGGTGGAAACGGGGGTCCTGGGCGGAGTCTGCGGTGCTCCAGTGTGGTTATAGTGGGTCGTGGACTGTGGCATTCACATGGCTGTTAAGACACTGAGCTTTCAGGAGCTGGAATTAAAACCAAATTTTAAAAGTGTTGCTGGCTTATTTTTCACAAAGCAGAAATGTTCAGGTACATTTCAGAGAGAACAGCGTATGACCAGAGCTCTGCATCCTGCCTGTTTGAATGAGCTTTGTTTTTTGTTTTTAATCTGCATAAACAATTGATGCTGCTAAACATGAAGATGCTGACTTTGCCAGCCCCCAGTTAGCTGAAAGTATTGACTTCCAAAAACCCCTTTCCCTGTCTGATTGAGGTCCACCTCAATAATGTAACTAGTCATGTTTAGTACCATTCACTGCTTGTATAGCATGTGTGTGTGTGTGTGCATGCGCATGTTTACTTGTAGTTGCAGACACTGTTGCCTTGCCACAAGATTGGTAAAATCATCAGATCTTCTGCTGGGGTCAGGAATACAACCTCCCTACCAAGATGTGACCACCCCCGCCCTGACCTAGCCATGCCAGGAAATAGCTTATTGCCCTAATCAGGGCATTCGGACATTGGTACAGTCTTTCACATTGCAGTCAGACCTTCCAGAACAGCAGCTGCACAAAAACTGCTCCATCCGTTTCCTGTAAATGGCACTACTGACTGTCTTCCTTGCCTTCATGAGCTGAGTGCCTGATACTGACTCTTAGGCATTCTGTCTGCGTGACTCGCTTCAGGATGTAATTTTACTGTCCCCAAAACCTAAATCCAGGAACGGAAAACTCTTTGTATATCCTCTCTGCCGGAAACACCCTCCCAGCGGAGCCACTGTCGGCTCTGGCCTGTCGCCACAGTGATACCCAGCACAGGTGGCGGGTTGGGAATTGGCTCCTTTGCAGGTAGAGTTGCCTGGGTTGCTGATACCCCCCCCCCCCAAACCTGAGAAGTCTGAGATGCTTGTACAGTCACTGTTTCGGGTCTTGCCATACTCCACCTTGCAGGTGATAACAGGATTGTAGTCACTGCAGTCACTGTTTCGAAGAAAATAAATAAGGATGGTGCATTTCATGGTGTCAAAGATGCAGAGATCAGAGAGTGGTGTGAGGGGTTGGGAGCGTTGGGGTGATCTTCTCCTTTGCTGTAGGTAAGACCTTGTGGACCAAATGAGAAATGCAATTTGTGTATTTTCTACCTTTTTGGGGTGATGTTTGAGCCAACGATATCTGGGCAGCAGTGGAGCCTTGAGAAGGTTGACTCTACTGTTGTTCAGGCTCTGCAGCTTCTCCCTGCCAAACCACCCCTCATCTAGTCCACCACACTGGCATTATTGCATTTGTTTGTGATTTTAATTTGTTCCTCTCCTTTCCCTTAAACCATCACCGGTACAAGCGCACTCAGAACTTTCTGGAGCAGCCTTAGCCAAAAGTCAATATCTAATCCTTAACCTCGAGGCTTGTGTGTAGTTCAAACACTCAAACAAATGTTAGTTCAGGTACACATTTTTCAACTATGCGCTGTCGTCATGGAGACAGTCAGGAAGACCAAACGACCTCAGTTCTCTGAAAGCAACTGGCCAACTGCAGAATTGAGTTAATCGACTGGCAGCTAGTCAGCAATACAGCAAATAAAGAGGTCATTCAGGATTTATGGGGTTGGTTATGCCTGCAATGCCTGCGTGCCTCGTTCTTTCCGCTGTGCTGACTGCATCCCCAGAGGGATCATAGCCACCTGGAGAATTTGTGTATGTTAAGCAGGTTCGCACGGAGGCAGCGGCGGTGTGGCCATGGGGCCAGGTGAAGGGTAGCCGGCCAGCCCAGTGTGACCAAACTAGCCATGTGGCAGTGAGCTGTTAACCATCACATTGGGCGACATATCTCGGCCAGCCAGAGATTCCCATAGTTTCTCCTTTTACCATTCCACTACCATGCTCATCTTGTGCATTATATGTATTTATTTAATACTTGTTTAGCAGTAAAGGCTTAATTGAAACTCTTACTCCTATTCGTTCATCTGCATGTTGGTGATGTGTTCAGCCACTGGATGTGAACTGCAGTACCAGCCACTGTCACACTGCAGATTCCTGCGTTAAAAGGCGAAGGGCCTTCTGCGTTATTCATTAGTGATCTTGCACACATTTTGCACAAGAATGACAATTTTCAGCATAAACAAACAGCTATACATGTATAATGAGATGCACTCTCCATTTTGACTGGAGAAAGACTCCCCAACACTCTTCAGAGAGGGTAATGAGTGGTGTCTCTTCTCCATTCGTCCTTCACTGCACTTAGCTGGACGATTCTATGTTTGCATGAAGATCCAAACGGAAATGTTGATTTGGCTGAAGATGGATTTGCCCTGCCCTCAGGCTGGAAAACTGACCAAAAGTTTTAAGACTGGCGAACACAGGCTGACCCTCAGTTCCCAGTTCTCTGGACAGACATCTCTGATACCCCTTTTCCACTGCAAAGGTGCCGGTGCCGTTCCGGTGCCGATCCCCAATTTGGAACCAATGGCACGTTTGTCCACAGAAAAAAAAAATGGCGCCGGTGCCGCAATATCTGCTCCGAACCGGCACCAAACCTTTGCTGGTCTGGATGAAGCACCCGTGTTGTCATGAGAGGGGGGCGGAGTAACTGAGGCAATGCAAAATAAAGAGAATGTCGGAAAGCAAGAGCGTAATTCTATGGTCTGCAATCTGGTCTTCCCAAGAGATGCAGCAGAAATTAGAAAGCACACAAAGAAAGAAAAAGGTGTATGAATAGAGAAGGGAAAAACTGAAAGTTCCCCCGTTGTTGCTCTGTGTAGTGGGCATGGTTTGTGACGTGGGCGCAGTTCTGTCACCCGGTTCCCACTGGGCTCTCAAGTCCGTGGAAAAAATCGGGTCTGGACAGGCTTTTCTAAAGGCCTCATTACTGAATGGCATGAATGATTGAATAAAGAGAGGGAGAAGATACAAAGGTAATGGGTCCCATGCTGTGCCTCTTGGGGAGGGACTCATCCTCCTACCGCCCATGCATATAGAAATGAATATAGCATCCAGATGAATGGGGAAAGCGGGAGGTGGGGGATTTGAACAAACCGGACTCACGCCACACAGTGCTGTGCAGATCTGGAGCTGCTCCCCAGCAGCATCTATGCAGTGATGAGGTTACTATGGCAACTCAGGCGAGGTAGTAGAGGAGGAAGGGGGGAGGGGCTGGGGAAACCACATCAGCAAAATTTCCACAGAAGATATGGGGAGAGAGAAGGACCGACTTCCCTCCCTCTATCTTAAACAGCGAATCAGTTAGCTGGTGGCCAGTTCTTATTACCTTTTGCGATTGGCTGCTAAGCTTAGACCTAACAGTGTGGGACGCTCTGGTTGGCTTGCGCGCAGCTGCAGTGAGGATGCAGATTTCTAGGGGGCCTCTTTTTCACTGCATTACTCATCACTAATGTGGAACCGGCGTCGAGTGCTTGCTCGTGGCATGCGCTGCGACCGGTGCCGGTAGCGGCTGCGTGCCTCTCGCAGAGACGTCTTGGCCCAGTCTGGCTTTTCCACAAACCTAGACGGCGTCCTGTTTTGCCAGAGCATGCTTATTAACAACCGCGGTGCCACTGTGTGATCCTGTGTCAGTCTAGCCGGAGAGATTCCCTACGGAGGTAAAGCAGTTTTATAGATTTTTTTTTTTTGGTTTTCGGCACATGGATGCGGTGAAGATGCAAGCCTCCTGAGAGAGACGGCGCGAGGAGAAAGGCTGTGGTTTTGGAGGGTATTTGGGGTGAGCTGCTTGCGTTTAAGGACATTCCCAAATATAACACTCAGCCTGTCCTGACCACTCCACAATGTTTCTGCTGTGAGTGTGCGTATATGTGTACTTATAGCTGTGCATTTACCTCTGACGTGAATATGTAAGTGAGCGTGACTAAGTCTGTAAGTGTGTATGTCCGTGGCTGTGTGCGGCTGTGGGGGAAGTCAGGCGGGCCAAGTTGTGTGCCTCCGTCGTACCTGACTCTTCGGAGCAGTGCATTGTGGGAAGGGATGCTGCCGGAGATCTGCAGGTCCGCCTTGCGCTGGCTCTCAGGAGCTGGGGGGGCCTCGTGTGATCCCGAGGGCGAGCTGGCCACCAGGAGCCGCAGGCCAGGAGAGGAAGAGGAGAACGAGCAAGGGGGGCTGGGGTCAGAGGCCCGGTCAGACCCTCCGGCAAGAAGCGCAGAGAGCCAGGAGGCAGGGAAGCGGACCACGGTGCTCGTCATGGTGGCGCCACCACCGGACTTCCAGCAGGTACAGCGGCATGTAGAGCGTGCTTCCTGCCC